AACCCTTCTCTAATCATTAAGGCCCCCACATGAGGATTGAAAGTGGGGGAGAGTTCGGTTTAGCGGTGCTTCCAGATCAGAGTCTTGCGGGAGGGTTGTTGGTTTAGGGTTTAGGGTTTAGGGTTTAGGGTTTAGGGTTTAGGCAAGTAGGGTGTTAGCTTAGGGTTTACTTGGAGGATCATGGGACTAAATAAGTAAGGTTAAAAGTCCCCTAAATGGGGTTATAAGTATAGTTACCTTAGTTGTAACCCTACTTACTAAGTCCCAGGATCCTTGAAGTAGGGTTTAGGGTGTTAGTGAGAACCAGTGGGATCTCTTGCAACATGAGCCCCTCCCTTCGTGCCGATGTAGTAGACATTTCCTGTGACAGTTTCCGAGAGGCAGCGCTTTTGCGCCCAGAGCATATACTCCCAAAGACTAGGTTTAGGGTTTTGGGTTTAGGGTTTTGGGTTTAGGGTTTAGGGTACTAACAGAATAAATCCTGAGCCCTTAACTGTTTAAGTTTAAGTGCCAAGTGCTAAGAGAATCGTAGTATGATTTCCCCGGAAAAGGCCGTTGATTCTATTTCTCTGTATTCGGGCTCCTCACCCAATGAAAAGCAAACAGCCTGATTCTAGCCTAAACCTTCAAACCCTAAACCATAAACCCTAAAACCCTAAACTCTAAGACCCCAAACCCTAAGCCCTAACACCCTTTTGATTTGTGGCGCTCCTGAAGCAGCCCTAACCGCTGAGTGAAGATGCAGACGCCCCCCACCAACTATATGTCATACCTACAGAGGCAAATTAACAGTTTCTGGAGTAAGCAACCTACAAAGACACAGTACATGATGTTCGCATGCATAAGTATCCATAAGTTCTTGAGCAGCATCTGCGGTATACAAACAACTGGAAAACTTACTCTCGAAATTCTGGAGCCATACACCAACTTTTGCTTAATACCTAATCCCTAAACCCCTTCATGTTAAACCTGAACCCGAAACCCCAAACCCCTAAACCCTAAACACTAAACCCTGAACCCTAATTATTCCCTGAACCCTTAACCCTTAACCTGCTTCTCTGAAGCCTCAGCTCTCTCCCCTTCATTTCAGACCTGCCTACCTCTTAGAGGACTTATAACAGGATCATGAGCGGGAAACCTGAAGAAAAATACGTAGGTTCTTCAGGGTCCAGGTAAGTCACTATATCCTATATCCGAAACCCCTTTCCTAAGACCGCAGCCCTATACCGATACCTATACTAAACCCTAAACCCTAGACCAAACCCTTGTCTTGGAAACCCCAGGAAAGGGCGCCGTGACTGGGAATTCTCTTGACCTCATCCATCCGCTCCTCGCTTTACATGGCCAAACAGCTCAGGCCTTCATAATGAGAGTAGGGTTTTGGGGTATACTATACCATATAATGGTAATAAGGAATCCCTCAAAACCCTATTTTTTTCAGGCCCCTAAACCCTTAACTCTCATAGTAGAACCCTGTAAGGAATCCCTAAACGGAACACCCAAATCCCTACTCTAATTGTTAAGGCCCCTACATTCGGGGCTGTAGTGCTTTGGGATGTCTTAGGGTTCTAGGTTTTGGGGGCCAGTGCTCTAAACCCTAAACCCTAAACCCTAGAGTTTCAGGGTTCCGGGTTGTAGGTGGAGAATTTGGGGTGTTGCGGCTGATATACAAATCCTGCATTACACATACCGTCATTCCCATAGTTTAGGGTCCTTAAGGTAACGCAGGTTTTAGGGTTTAGGATACAAATCTTGCATTACCCATAATCAAGAATATTCCGTCATTCCCATAGCTTAGGGTCCTTAAGGTAATGCAGGGTTTATATCATCAACAGTAATGCCTTCTGGTAGACGTCTGAGCCAGCCGGAACTCAAAACCGCAAAGCCGTAAAGTACAAAGGTGTTTAAGGATTGGCATGAGGCGGTCCCATTTTGGGGGTAAGGAGGGCTGGGTAGCGAGCAGTCTGTGCTTGGAGCGAGGCTTCATGGGTTTGACGGATTTCTGCATACTGCAAGGGTGCTACAATAAACGTACAGCCAGGGAACCACACGTCCCCAAACCCCTATAAAACCCAAAACCCTGCACCCTGAACCCTAACCTAGTAGTAGGGTAGGTAACCTTTAGCTTTTTTGGGAAGTACAATCCCTATATAACCCCAAAGGTTAACCTTTAGTTCCCCATGATACCCGACAAGTAAGCTAAGCCGTAGACAGGTGGCTTTTGCCAAAGAACTCTTGACGCCAAACCTTTGGGGCTGTTGGGCGTGGTTTCCTAGTGTTCAGGGTTGAGGGTTTAGGATTTAGGGTTGAGGGACGGGGATGTATGGCCCTAAGTGGAAATTTCGGGTTCAGGGTTGAAGCTACGGTTCACGGTTGAGCGACCGAGGATGTATAGCCCTGAGTGGAAATTTAGGGTTCAGGGTTTAAGCTCCAGGTTCGCGGTTGAGGGACCTGAGAAGCACAGCCCTAAAGTGGAAGTTTGAGGTGTGCCCTACGGCTGATGATATGCATCCTGCATTGCCTATAAGAAGGAACATACCATCATTCCTATAGTTTAGGGTCCTTAAGGTAATGCAGGATGAGCCCTAAACCCTTAACCCTAAAACCCTAAAACCCTAAAGCCCTAAACCCTAAACCCTCAACCCTAAACCCCTAAAGCCCTAAGCCTTAAGGTGATGCAGGATATGTATCATCAACAGTAGCGCCGAGG